GGGGGGTTGGAGGTCCGCGTGGGGCCGGTGTCTTGCGGGGGGGGGGGGGGGAGAGAGAGAACAAGCAGCCCAAAATGAGGCCTCCAGCCCACACCCAGCAGCCCCCCCCCCCATCCCTCGCACCGTCTGGCTGCCACCGCCCCCCCCCACACACACCTCCATTTGTTTGTAGTCGCAGACGGCCTGGAGAGGCAGGCGGCCCTTGAGGGGGGTCGTGGGGCTCCGGGGCTTCAGCTGGACCACCGCCTTGGCCCGCCTGGCCAGCCCGGCCAGCTGACCTTGGTACTCGGCCAGGTGCTCCTTCTCGTCCTGGAGGGGAGGGAGAGAGAGAGAGAGAGAGAGAGGGAGAGAGGCGCCTGAGGACGGGTCTCCAGCCGAGCCGCCACCACCTCAGAGAGGATATTATAGCAGTGGGAAAAGTGCAGAAAAGGGCAACTGGAACGATAAAAGGGTTGGGACACTTTCCCTATGAGGAAAGGTTAAGGCGCTTGGAGAAACGACGGTTGAGGGGGCGACATGATCGAGGTTTACAAGGTTATGCATGGGAAAGAGCAGGTAGAGAAAGAGGTACTTTTCTCCCTTTCTCACCATACAAGAACTCCTTGTGGGCACTCCATGAAACTGCAGAGCGGTCGGGTTAGAACGGATAAAAGGAAGTACTTCTTCACCCAAAGAGTGATGAACACATGGAATTCACTGCCACAGGAGGTGGTGGCGGCTACAAGCATGGACGGCTTCAAGAGGGAACTGGATAAACATCTGGAGCAGAGGTCCCTCAGTGGCCCCTTTAGCCACAAGGTATAGATAGGAACTCTGGGGCAAGTGATGCTCTGTATTCTTGGTGCTTGGGGGGGGGGGGCAACAGTGGGAGGTCTTCTGGTGTCATCTGGCCCCACTGCTGAGTGGACCTCCTGATGGCACCTGGTATTTTTTTGGCCACTGTGTGACACAGGAGTGTTGGACCGGATGGGCCACGTTGGCCTGATCCCACACTGGCTTCTCTGATGTTCTTATGACGACCACGCGGGCACAGCAGCCCCACTCACCAGGGAGTCCTGCAGCAGGTCCTCCAGGCGCGTCACGGTGGTGGAGCGGTCGCAGGCAAACTTTTTCCGCAGGGTCTCCTGGGTCTTGCGCAGGAAGTCCTCAGCTTCTTTCACATCAGCCATGAACTGTGGGGAGGAAGACTGCCACGTGGAGCCACTCTCCGCTTCCCGCAGCAGCACGGCCTCAGGGTCTCCGGCGGCTGGCGGGATGCAAGCTAGAGCAAAGGCCCCCCGCTACCCCCCCCCCGGGCCTGGCTCCAGGCAGAGCACA